TTTCCCACCTTCTCGTAGCACAAAAGTTCCTGAGCCGTTGGCAGCTTGTATATTCCGAGACGCGTTAGTAGATTTGAAACAGTTAAATGGCTGCTTTTGCTGGTTCAGTAGAAGCCGCATTTTCCGAATTATCCAAGGAGGAGCTCTCGTCAGGGGCCTTTTCCTTAAGTTTGGAACCACTTGTTCTATGAGCTGGTTCATTTTGGAGCACAGGTGTCCAAGCACTATCGAGGTCAATATTCAAATAAATAAATAAATAAATAAACTTTTATTCTCGACAATGCGAGGCACACCTGTACAGGCATGATCATGTTTAGCTAACATAGTAGAGTATTCCAGACCAAGGTGCCATTCATCTCTCAGGAGCAGGTGGGATTAGTAGGCCAGAACTTTTGTTAGTAAACCCTTCCGTCTTGACTAAGCAATCGTCTCGTTCACTTAAAGAGAAGAGTACGGTTATCAATATGATGAATCTAGGGAAGAGTGACTAACCCTGTTGTGTCAGAAGGTACGGGGGATAGCACCAAGTCAAGGATGTGGGGTGTTCGGCATTGGATTATTTTGGTAGGAGTGGAGTAGTGCTGAGACAAGTTGGCATAAAGAAATGCCCAAAAGGCATGCTTCGCTTTGTCGATAATAAAGTTTCGTTTCATTTATTTAGGAAGACCAGCAGCAACTGACTCTGTGTAGGGTCCGCAGTGCAGAAGCCCTCAGTAAACAATAGGCGCATTGAAGCCAATTAATATTTGACAGTACTGAACTCCCCCATAACAGTTGAGTGAAACCAAAACGCTATTATGGTTACAGAACAGGGCCCCCACTCCGACGGTAAGGCGTTAGCACCGTGGAAGATCCGATACCAGGGCATTTTTATACCATCGCCATTAATAGTTTTATGGGATGTACATTGAGTTCAAATCGCCAGTACAGTATTACACCACCCCCGGTACTCCCTCTTTTAGGATCCGCCTTTAACTGCTGATATCCTGGGATATGTACCTCTCCATCCGGCATGTCTGATATTAGCCATGTCTCTGTAGAGGCAAGCTGGTTTGCATATAGCTCCGAGATGGCACAGAGGATTTCGGGCAGTCTGTTCCCAAGACTCCGGACCTTGGTAGACGTCACCCAACTGTCCAACCGTTGTTTTTGACCATACGGCAGGGGCGAACGAACTCTCTGAGTTATCTGCACCACGAGAAAATTCGCGGTGTGTAGATGGGCTTACCCGTTAGCCCTTCGGGTTCTCAGTTCATCAGCGGTCATTTTCATTTTGTCACGGTCTTCAGAGCAAAGGTCTCAGAACAAAGGAAGTTCATTGCTTGAGGCGTTTGGGCCGCTTAATAATGCAGCAACATTCAGCTTCATTTTGGCAGACTATTTTAACTAAAAGATTTTGGGCCTGCTTGCTACCGAGTCGAAGGACGGAGTTAGTGTTGTTCCCACCATCGCCATCACCGAATAGTAGAGAAACCATACGCACTAAGGAATATTTGTCATCTTGTAGGCTCTGCTGGCGATGGCTTATCTAGTTCCGAAACGTTGACGATAATCAGACAGCTTTCAAAATCAGTGGTCTGCTTCTTCCGGGAACAGCCGGCTCTGTGGTTTGGGGCGTTGTCGTCATCAGGTTCTTTAGCTCGCACCTTCTGTTAAGCACGTGCTTCAACTTTAAGCGAAGAGAGTCCCACTGGGTCTTAGGCTCTGTGGCCCCTCTATTTTATTCTTGCTGGCGGTGGTGCTTGTGGTCACAGTCACTGATATCACACCCCGTTTTACTACGGAGATATATGTCTTCACCGCTGATATTTATGCAGCGTTTGTGTCTGCTAAAGCTGCATACGTTTTCTTCTTTATTTTTGCTTAGTTGCACCTAATTACGTTTTGCAAACACTACCTTGCTTTAATTGTGTACCCTTGAGCGACCGGAGACAAAGTCTTCGGTTGTTGTGTTTTCGGGTGGTCAGACTGAAGTCCTTTTTCGTCATAGTAGTGCCATCATTGGTAGCGCACGACTCAGGACTGGACATTACGCATACCTACAAATAGTGCAAAGCAATATGCACAGCACAAGGGATAAGGTGTGCGAGCAGGGAGCGTTTGTACATGGGTCTCGCCCCGAGATATTCGCATTCACTGAAACGTATTTGTCTCAAGACCTGAGTGACGGTGCTGTACTTAAATAAATAGCTAAATTCGTTATTCTCGTGCAATGCGAGACACGCCTATGTAGGCGTGATCATGTAAAAGACACAAATAATATCGGTGAAGGTGTAAAAGTGGTGCACGTTGGCATGAAACTTGGAGCTGTGAGTTCATACATCTTGGTGGGAGTACAAGGGTCAATATGTTAAACGAGTTCGTATATGTGCCGCTGCAATTGCGATTGATCACATGGATAATTGTGGGAAGGGTTGGGTGACATACACAGTGTGAATTTGGTTGCTTGGGTAATCATGGGGTAGTGACTTTAGTTAGAGGGGAGTCAAATCCGCCTCGTCACAGTGCTGTTAAACGGACATAAGTGGCTTTTTATAAGGAGAACGCTTGCCAAACGAAAACCCACCAGCTCCTGGAGCACTGTCGCTAAACAGTTGGTACCTCATGATAGCCATATTTTTCTTGTTGATTGAGCAGCCAGAGATTGCCGGCAAGCCATAAGCGTGTGATTGTACGCTTGACAAGCGGGACCACAGGTTGGTAGTTATGGTTTGATACAGGTAAGTAGTGTAAATCAATTGTCTTGAAGGCTTTTTGCATGCAGGCCATGGCTGCTTCAGTCCTCTGAATAAGAGCATTTAGCTCAAAATGACCAGCGCAAGTAAACCAGAAAGGGAGTGGGTGCGGTGGAGGCCTGATATGATCCACGTTTAGCTTTGTAGCTTAATTAAGTTGCAGACCCCCAGGCCAGGTGGGATCCTTGGTAAGTTTCTGTTGCTATCTTCAGCTCTCGGGGAAGAAAGAGAAAAGTAAAGAAAGGGTGAGCAGCAGAGACCACATAAGAAACCAGTGACATCACGTGGTGTGAAGGTAAAAGTCATATAAGTTACAACATGGTGAATGGTTCATGTAAAAGGCGAAAAATTGGTATCCTGTGTTCTACGACCATCTAAAGAAGCTGCCTACTTGTCCACTGGTTAGAGGTGATTGCTTCATTAGCCGACAAGGCGTGGCATCGCGCTTCAGGTTAGCTGTGTACTTGAAGTTTTACGTACCTACAGGTTTCAGTCGGCAGAAAAAACGGTCTTAGCTCCGGCGTTAATGGTAACCACTTCCTCTGTGCAAGTTACATTTGTAACACTCTATAGAAGTCCAGGGAATGCATCCAAAATGTGCTTGAATTTATTCGCAACCAATCCGCAAACAGCTGCTTGCTAATTGGTGACTTCAGTGTACCGGAAGTTTGCTGGGCAAATATTACTTGCAATACGGTGGAAGGTGCATTCAGTGCAGATCTTCGTAAGCCTACTCTACAACTTCCGTGGCATCAGTTCTTGGACCTGTCAACCAGGTACATAGACGTTCAAGTACTGTCTTTATGGGATTTAGTTTTTGACAACGCATTAGAACTCGTAGCTTAGAGCACTTAAACTCTCCCTTAGGTGCCAGTGAACAGGTATGTGTGTCATTCAGTTGTGAGCTGTCCATAGGTCACTATGGCATCGCAAAATCATACCCAAACATATGGCGTGCGAACTATTACGTAATGCGTATCAACGCTTATGGGTTAGAAGAGGACGAGATTCGGCTTCGGTTTTGTGCAGGATTGCCAGGCCCGACAGACAACGTTTTTCCTGTTAGCGAAGTGGAGGGGGCACGGCTTCTTTGTTACTTGGGCTTAGCGTAACCGCACCCAGGCAGACGCACAGATAAAAGAGATGTTTTGCATCCAGAAAAAGACAGAGAATGTGCAGGGGTGGTAGACACGTCTAAAAGGCGTAGGCTGGTCAGAAGCTTATTATACCTAACCGCTGGGAGAAGTAGGTTGCAGTGAGAACCTTTGGAGGACGGGAGCTAATGATATTGGTGAAGACTATGCCCAAGGATACAGTACCTTATATGCGTCCAACACTTGCAAATGGCTAGCAGGATTGCTAATCACCAGAAGGTGACAGTTTTCCAACAATACACATATTAAGAGTCACATTTTCCGAGAGAAAAATTCGAAAACAGTCAACGTAGTCAAACCTTTTCATACAAGCATTTTCTACACGAGATATTGATTTCAACGACTCGAATATAGCACGCCAGAAAGTGGTTACGGCGTAGCACTCACTGCTCCATATCGATTGAAATGTGGAATAATAAAGCGCAAAAATGTAAAAACTTGTACGCTACACCATGTTATTCGCTGGTAACCGAATGACCAAACACCGCCTACCTAGCTAGTCTAAATCGTTGAAACCAAGTTGCTATCACTCCATGTTCTCGCTTCATATATGAATCAAACTGAATCACTTGTGTTTCTTTCAAGGTCGCCTGTTTGACTGCGAACATCAAAGTGCTTATGGGATCTCTATAGGAGGCAGAAGTAGACCGGACCCGCGAAACCCGTAAACAGAGAGCGCAACATAGTACAGCAGTAATGCATGTTAAAATGCTTTACCTATAATCATTTTTAATGTAGGATGTATCTTATACACTATGGAGAATCGGAATTTATGCATATGTTTTATTTGTGATGCATGAGGTATGTATGTTTAATATTTATTATTGTCTTATAATAATGCTAAATATTAAAGTCAGTACAGTGGGTATAAATACAAACAATATGCTTCTATACAGCAAAATGGTATATATCCATATCTACCACAATCCCTCTATTTCATTTTTAAATCAAACGCCTGCATAATATTTGCCTTAAAAAATACACACATAACCTATTATACATACACTAGTTAAGTACCTACGTATATTCATATACATTTGCTTGTTTTGCTATTCGGCATCATAATTAACCTTGAGGTAAATAATGTGCCGCAACGACCTTATTCGCAGCCACACCTAACCCTTTCATCGGTAATTTCGGATCCGGTCTGCTCCCTACTATCAGGTCGCCGCACCTTGTTCATCTTCCATGAAGTAGCCGACTTATTTCTGCTACATAACGATTAATGACGTCGCATATCAAACTTTAATGTTTTTACTTCACCCGTGTCACTTTGTTTGCTCTTAGACACATCATGTCTGGTCTAATCAACTCAAAACTCGTGACAACCGGGTGCATTCTTGCGCAGTCCCAAGCAATCACTCAACCCATGGCAGATGCCGATACCAAAACGTCTTTAAAACTTTTCGCCAAGTCCCAGGAATCTGAATCTGAAAGCGAATCAGAAACGTCCTCCGAGGATGATGACTCCAGTGATGAGGAAAAACACATGGCTGATAACCCCATCCTTAAAGAGCGCTTGAAACAGCTGGATCGCTATGCTACTCCAATTCATTGTTCAAAACTTTCCCCTATTATTAATTCTGATGCAAATGCAGCAAGCTTATATTCCTCCACTGCCCCCGTTGCTGACTGCGCTGCGAACCATACCGTTTTAATCCGTGCTAAGTCTAGAGCTCCCTCCGAAATGGCCGAAAGTAGCTCAACTCCTTCAGACTACCGTTGCCATCAGTTATCCATGTTGGAATCCCCCAATGGCTGTAGTGGACCTATTTCTTTGAATGCCTCAATTACCCCTAAACACATCTCTCCGCCATATGGGATCGTTCCAAGCACCTGTAATTCGGACCTGCTATCACAGCAAGAACATGCGGCACCTAATGGTACACACACAAAAAGCATAAACACCTTTGTTTGTGATCCTGGTGAACGGTGCTTGGCCTTTCCCTATAGTAGTCACGCACAGGACGCATATGGTGGTCGTATATGCAGTGAAGTACGGAACATTGATAACGACTATAACTTGAGCTGTGAGACTTGTCATTCTGTCTTCTCCACACGTTTATCTCTACAAAATCACATGAAGAAGCATTCCAGTCGCCTTGGTAAACGTCACCAGTGCAGCCAGTGCCCGTACTCCACACAATATGGTAAAAATCTTCTCAAACATGTCGAGTCCATGCATTCGTCTGACAAGACCGATCAACTCCGATGTGGAGGATGCTGCAGGTACTTTGCAACAGAGGAACTTTTGCGGAATCACGAATGCCTACTCTCCCAGTGCAATTCGTATCGCTGTGGTGACTGCGGACGCATATTTAAAACTAAGTTACGTCTAAAGTATCACACTGATATACACAATCCTAGAAAGCCCTACGTCTGTGATGTTGAGGGCTGCGATCGCGCTTTTCGTACACCGAAGTACTTAAAGAATCATCGCGATGAGTTTCATCGTATGCAACCTAAAAACTATGTTTGCCCGGTAGAAGGATGTGACCTGATTTTTCACAGAAAAACCCATCTGAAACGCCACATTTCTACGCATGATGGTAAGTTTCTTGAATTTCGCAAACAACTGTTTATTTGCCTGCTCGTAACTTTCATACAACTCGTTCGGATAAGCGTATCTAAGGCAATCTATCTGCCATTTTGTCCAACTTTACTTTGTGTCTCGGTCCGACTAGAGGCTGACCTTAGTAACAAAATCACACAGGTACCTTTAATCGGATTTTTATGGTTGTGGACTGCATTCACTTAAGCCAACTAAGTGTCCATCCTAAGCTCTCGAACACTAACAATATGCTGTCCAAATTTGTGTGGTTTCTTGATGCTAGTAACTGAAAAGCCCTTTATAACCATAGTCGCAATTTTTGTAGTGTGGTGCTCTAAATCATCCACTTGTCACTGATCTCATGCTGAGGTTAATGTTGCATTCATGATGCTTCACCGCAGTTGGGCTAAACAAACTTAATCTAGGTCTTTGTAATCTAGATAGTCATTCCACTTTCTTTCGTCTGTTTAATTCCGCTGTTCTGCTGCAAATGCTGTGTCAATTTTTCATGTATGCTTTCCTTTAAATTGTGTTGGTTGTTCGATATCCCCGGTGTGGTTGCGCTTGATGTGTATGTTGACATGGTGCCTACCTGTCTGACTCCCTCAACCTCGATTACTGGCTCCAGGAAACTGAGTCGTTTCTGGGGGATGGACGGGGTGCATCTTCCTCGTGGCCGTGCAAGGCTCGAAGATTGGTTCCATCCATTGTGGAGAGGACTACGGCCCAGTCACCGCCTTGTGTACGTCTGGTAGGTATGATTCTCTACATAGATAGACAGGAATGCTGAGGCTTTGCATTTTTCCGACCACAAGTGGCGTCCGTCACGGTTGTCCGATTTCTACATATTTGTTCACTTTCGATGTGGACTATATCATGGAGCGTGCCTTTACGGAATTTCAGAATGTAGGCGTTGTGGTCCTGCCTGGTAAAAGGTTAGTTGATCTTGATTATGTGGACGATATCGTCTTGCTTTGCGACGATGTTGCGGCGGCACAATCAACCTTGAATAGCCTGTCTGGAGTAATCCCATTATTTGGTACGCGCTTCGCACCTTCAAAGTGAAAAGTGTTGCTGCAGGACCATCAACCACTTTATGACCCCTTGACCCTTGCTAACGAGGAACTTGAGGTGGTCAATCAATTCACTTACCTTGGCAACTGCATCAACAACGATGGGCGCATAGAAACTAAAGTCGGTTCACGCATTGCGAAGGCCACAACTGCTTTCGTGTACCTGCGGCATCTTTGGCGACAGAAGGGTGTTTCCCTCCTTCTGAAAGGCTGTGTACACAGGGCCACAGTGTGGGCCGTTCTGCTCTATGGTAGTGAGATTTGGCCCCTTCGGTCTGAAGATCTGAGGCGCCTTCAAGTCTTTTACCATCGTGGTCTGCGAAACATTGCTGCTGTCGGATGACAAGCGTGTCCGCAATGATGACGTGTGTTATGGTTAGTCAGCGTTCAGGCCGAGAGCAGTTGCGCAACAGTGCATCGATCTACAGTTAGAGATTGAACGCGAGTAAAGATCAAAATGCAAATCTACGTGGAATCAACGGCAAGACGGAGCATGAACTTGAATAGTTTGATTTGTGTTGATTAATATTAATTAGCATCTCCAATTTTGTTATGTTAGTGGTTTCCTACAATTTATTTATTGCACCATACTCTCATACAGTAGAATCAGAATCGGGATCCCCCGGCCCGGCTGGTTTTGGTATCCTTATTTCGTTGTGGGATTGAACTGGTTGGGGGCGGCACAGCAGATTTCAGGCAGATTATCCATACGGTCAGTGGCAACCACAACATATTTCTGGCGACGGGAAATAAACTGCTTCAAGATGGCTCAGTGGAAGAGGTGATTGCTATTTCGCTCCAACACAGCAGCAGCAGTTCGTGACCTCACAGCTGCGTATGATCGAGCTTTTCACTTGAACGCTGTCACAGCGGCATGCAGCCATTTCTTCGGAGCAAATGCAGACGCTCCTTCAGGTGCAGCAATCAATGGTTGAGGAATCACGGCGGCAATTGACGGATGCTGACATAAAAGTTAAACATTCAAGCAGATTGTGAACTGGAACCACTATGCACATCAGAGCACATTGCAGGTGAATGTTACAAGCAGCTCAACTCGGGATTAGACACCAAAAAGGTTGAAAATTCAAATGCCAGATGTGAACTCCAGATCCGCCACACAGCTAATAGAGACCACAGTGTGAATCAAAGCATGCCGAAGCAAAAGCCTCTACTGCGATTATTGCCACATTCCGCAGGGTTCAAAGCGCACCAGGTGACCCTTTGTCGCTAGACAGAGAAATTACCTACGAACGGAATTACAAAGGTCTGCAACCTTGTGCAACTGTCCAGATCTACGAACCAACAGCCCCCAAAACAGTGGCCATTGAGCACCTGCGAGAGAGGTATACAGCTGTTTTTCGAAAGGGCCTTGCAACACCAATGGCTAACCAAGAGCTTTATCGCTTAGAGACAACAGTTCTCCACCCGGTGAACCACTCACTTTGGGATCCAGGAGGGACCTAATGTGCTTTTGCCAGTGGACACAAAAAGGAACGAACTTGCAGCCACGATGATAGAATGATCGGGTGTGGAGACCCATCATCGGTATGTATCTGGACGCAAGACGGAACTCCTACGTCAATTTGCGCCAGGGAGGTGTTACGGAGAGTCAGCGTTCAGGCCGAGAGCAGTGGCGCAACAGTGGATCGATCTACAATTAGAGATCGAACGCGAGTAAAGATCAAAATGCGAATCTACGTGGAATCAACAGCAAGTCGGAACATGAACTTGAACCGTTTGATGTGTTGACTAATATTAATTAGCATCTCCAATTTTGTGTTGTTTATTTATTGCGCCATACTATCATACAATAGAATCGGGATCCCTCGGTCCGGCTGGTTTTGGTGTCCTTATTTCGTTGTGAGATTGAACTGGTTGGGAGCGGCACAGCAGATTTCAGGCAGGTTACTCGTACTGTCAGCGGAAATCACAACAACCTGCGTAGGCAAGTACTAGGTAGTAATCATGCTAGTTCCCTAGAACAACAGATAGCACTGAATAAGTTGCGTTGGCTTGGGCACGTGCTACGTATGCCTGGTCACCTCTTACCTAGCAGGGTCTTGTTTAGTCTGCCAGATGTAGGATGGCGCAAAGCTCGTGGTGGACAGAAGTTGACTTGGCAGCGGGAAATGAAGTCACTGACGATCAAACTCGGTGCCGTTGGTCCGTCTCGCCTTCCGGGCTGGAGTTCACATAACTTGCCTTGTGTTTGGCTCTGGACATGGCTCGCAGCCGACACCAGTAGCGCGTCTGCTGCCGTCTCCTAGTCGTATTACCTGTATAAAGTGTGTTTGGTGCTGAGTTATTTGCGGGGTAATGTCTGCTTATGACGCGGGGCAGTGAAAGCCGCAAGGAAGCTGTCTCGCCGATGCCGCCTTATCTTTACATGATAGCCAGCTGTATGTGATGGTATGGCTGTCTACACAAGATGTAGGCGCCTTGACCGTGAATGTTTACTTAGGGCGTTAATGTTTTCAGGTAAATCCC